GATGATTGGATGGCATGGATAGATAGATGGAAGAAAAAATAACCGGTTCCGGGGGTTTTCCAGACATCGGAAAAACTGCAATACCCCATTAAAGTTTACTTTGTCTTTGCTTTTGCTTTCAAAAATTTCACTTTTTACTTTCCCATCTCTTTCGAGCAGAATTGAAGAGAACTTTCATGAGTCACTTCATAAACGCGCCCTGATGGAAAAGCCTCATTACGCAGAGATCGATAATCTGAAATGAGCGGTCAGATAGTCAGTACTGATCTGTGAGTGATACTCTTAAGTTCAATGACCCGCTGGGCAGTTGCCGATGTGCTTCTATCGTGTAGGCGGATAGCTGCTGAAAAGTGCTGTCCAGAGGAGATTACTGCAGCGCCGAACGCTTCATGTCAGCAGTTTACAGTTTGAGCAGTTTTTTTTGAACCAGAGAGCCATTTACAGTTTAAGTGTTCATGGCTGCTTGTGGCGCGCTGTAGCAGAAAATGCATAATAAAAGCTCATGATTTCTCCACAGCTAAAAGCGTTTTTAGCCACTGCTGAGAGAGCGGGAGGAGGCGGGAATGGAGGAAGGGGAGAGCGGGAAAGGAAGTGGGGGAGGGAGGCAGGCGTGCGGAGAAAGGGTTGCATTGCATCACATGAACAGTAGGTTACGATGCTAATAACTTGTTCCATTTGTCCTTGCGCAGCACTACTATCACCGGCAGCATCATCCGTAACTGATTCCTTTGCCTCTTCCTTCTTCCGAACTTCGCCGTGCGCTCTCTCCAACTCTCTCGCGTTCGAAGATGTGCGATTCCTCTGCACAGTCTTAACGAGCTGTCGAGCGAGCGACGAATAGTTAATGAGCAGGCGAGATTAATTACCTCATTCTTTTGCATCCTCTAATTTTTCTTGAGAGCGCCAAGACAGGATGAAGATGGTGAAGGGAAGGGAATTATCAGCAAAATCGCAGCAAATGCAAGTAACAGATGATGAGCAATGGACTACTTCCGTATACGCGACACCCTTTACCGAACTTTCACTTTCACGATGAGACAGAACAAATGGAATCTGTTACATAAAAGTAAAGAAAAATGGCGGAATCGATGATAGAAAGAAATGAGGGTGGCGGGGTGGAAGGAGGAGAGGGGTGGGGACGAGGGAAAGAGGAGAGGCGGGGCAGGAGAGGGACGGAAGAAGGAAGGAATGAGGTGGAAATTGTCAAGTACGACTTATCTAATACGGAACATGCTGGTGCAGGATTTTGTACTGGACTTTGAATTTTAGTAAACCTTGAATCCTAGAACTCCAGTGTTGTATCAGTTGTGAATCGTGAAATTTCAGTGCTTTGGCACATATCATTTGGAGGCAAAAATTTTAAATTTTCTGTTTCAGTATCATAAGCGTTAGACGATTACCGATTTAGCGGAGAGTATAACATCAATTAATCCTTGGCCTTGAATTATGGAAGTTTTGTAGCTAGCAGATATGGTCAATATTTCGATGTTAGTACACATATTCAAAAGTGTTATTATTTTTACCTTGATGATTAAGCGGTTGCTACTTTGTAGAACTGACAGATTTTCAGCAGTGGAACTTCTTTAGGACGAGGCCTAGGAAAAACGGCGGAACTTTTTGGGCACTGAGGGCGAACAGCATTAAAATTACAATAATTCTAGGACCTGTATATTTCAGCAAATCATGCAAGGTCGGAGACAAAGTTAAGTGCACTTCTCGGCTGAAATAGCCTTGTGCTGTCTCTTCCTCTCCCTCACTCCACCTGCCTCTTCCTCATTTGTTTTTAGTCGTTTAAAAGAGTTGTCGGACTCAGTCTTTCGTCCCACGTCTTTTATACTCAATAAGTAATATGGAACTTTTTCACCAAGAAATTGCACCGATTCCTTATTTTGGATGCTTCTTTTTTTACTGAAACCGCGAACTTTTTATCATCAGAGTGCAGTTGAGCTTGCGTTTCTGGATCACGATCTATCGATAACGCTAATATTCGGTCGCTTGTCAGTCTTGCTTTACTTTGAATCAAGCCAAGCCTCTCCACAGTTCATTTTCTGCGAGAGGCCGAGTACTCAGAAGTAGCCCTAGCGATAACGCTTGCTTAACAACAGCCATTCGCTTATGTTAAAACTCCGATGGCCCCGTGTTCCAAAATTTGATTAAAAGCATGCTGATGGGTGTCTTGACTTCTTGGCAAGTGCCAGTGCTATATTCTATAAAGACGAATGAACAAATTACAGAGGAATTGGCCTACTCCACTGGTGAAGTGTACCGTCGAAATTCCGCGCAGGAGCAGCTTTATCAGTTAATCTTCCATTGCTAGAAGTCCTTTGTTCTAAGTAATATATAATTTTTCCGTTACGTGCATCTGCCTGAGCCGACATGTTGCTTGTGTCGAATCTTGTTCTTTGTTCCAATTCTGGTGGGCACGTTCAGTTAGCCGACCCCAGAGCCTGACCTTTTAGCTGCTTCATCGATGGCCAAGACAAAAGAAAAGAGCACTCCAGTCAAACAGTGGCACATTAAGAAGGTATACGGGAAAAGTTGAAAGTAGAAACATACACAAATAAGTACTGGAAAATGAAGTGAAATATACATCTTTTAGTGTGTGAGGACTACGCATTCGGTGTGTTGTATGTGTATTGAGGTCTCGTTCGCAAATGTGCACTAGAGATTAGCCTCTTCGTGTGGAATGTCAAATTTATCTTTGGTGAAAGTGCTGCTGGCTCGGGACTGGGACAGCTAACCTCGTATTTGACAAACTCGCAGACAATCAGATGGGAGAGCTGGGGTGCGAAGGAAAGGAATTTATGCGTGCTGGCTTTTCTGTCCAACCCTGGGATGCGAGAAGGGATTATCCATTGCTGTGCGGAGCGAATAGCTATATCGATGTTTATATTAGCCGCATTGCTGTTGGCTTTTGTTGCACTCTCTAGTCCCGAGACCCTTACTCTCGTCGCAGATTTAGGGGACTCCGCTAATCCTTTCGCTCTTTTCTAGTCCACTCGCTTCCATCGGCTTACATTAAGTGGCCTCACACTAATCGCTGCTGACCGATTACAAATCTTGAATTCCCGCACGAACGGATTTCATTTATATTTGTAAGGGGAAGAGCACGCGCGAGTGCTGTTAACACTAACGCAGCAACATCAGGAACCACTTACACAGGCTTCTTCCAAGAGCGTGCATTACATGCTATTATTGCTTCAGCCTCCACCTCAGAATCACTATCAACAAAATCACGAAAACATCAAGTTTTTCGAGTGGCACTAGCGCAGGCGAACGGCGCGATTATCTGCCCTTAGTGCTGCCGTTTTATCCGCTCGGCCACCGCGAGATTCCGCTAGCCTTGTCTAAGTAACATTCCAACGTGATGAAAGTAATTCAAGCGATTCTGGTAGATGACAGTTACTGCTTAGTAGTGCAACAAGACTACCAAGACCGCCCGGAGAGCAGTGTGTTAGCGATGTTGCTAGGATGCTCCCACACATTGAATGCAGCTTGCCGGGCCTCTCGACCCTGAACTGCATATCTCCAGTTAGCAACACCACCCTACCTATGTGAATAGCCCTATTAAATATGAAACACTGTGTCAAAGCTGCTGGCCGATATGGCCTACTGGCAAGTGGCAACACCACATCGTCTCGCCGGTGTCCTTACACCTCCGGATGTGCACATCGTAGCTCCGCGACGGGTACAGCTTAATGTCCATCCTCTTAAGCAAATCATTTCGAAAAAATAATGGACCACACTTCCTTGTTGGACTTGGTTTGAATCTGCAGTGAGTTGGCTGACCGGTTTCTACTACTGGCTGGTAAGAGTATGTTGAAACATTTGATGAGCCACAGAATTAACCTCGCAAAGCATTTTTCGAGCCGAGGAGTCACCGGCGATGAGTGACAGGTGAAAATGTGCAGCGTGGTATTATTAAATTCGATTTCAAATAACTCCTCTGTCTTGTAGAGAATGAATCACGAAAGAATTTTAACTTCGACATAATTTATCTTGGTGCTTCTGCAGCTCATATATTACACGATTCAACCATCTGCTGGAAATCCCGAAACTGGAGCGTTGGTATCGCACGGATCCAAATCCATCCAGGCAGAAGCTTATCAATTATATGAATGTACTGAATGGCTCCAGTTATCGGCGGCACAACGTTAAAGTGACGTATCAGCAGATCTGCAACTGGTTTGCTACTCAGCGAGCCGCTAACAGGTTTCATTTTTGCTTTTCTTAAAAAGCACCAGTCAACATCGGAAGGGCTTCTAGTCCATTTTTATGCGTTTTTTGCAGCAATGCAATGCGAATAATTGGCCAACGCACGGGCTGCCCGTGCGAA